CCTTTAGTCAGGGAACATAACTGTACCATAATCCACTGAGATGATATTTTCTAAGCTGTACTGACTCCACACACCCCGTCTCGTCTCCAGGCTTTTATTTTACTGTTCTGTTTTAAATCATTCGGTTATGAAAAGGTACAAATACGAACTTTTCACCTGGAAAGACTTATTTAATGTACACAATTGGACCTTAAAACCACTGTTGTACCTTTGAGGGCACATTTACTTTGTTTGGACCTTGATGAACGAAAAATGTACCTGCACAGAACCTTTATTTCTAACAGTGCAGCACAGTTTATTCACTCCTTTTCAACTTCTGTCATGCGTTTTTAGGCAGCTGCACCAGCTTAATTTGTGGTGCGGTGACGACGAATGCCTATACTAGCACACTGCATGCACTCTTAATGCTCACACATAGTGGTCTATCCCACTAGACTGTGTCATGCAGTGAATGCGTGGACACTCAAGGCTTTGGGTGCTTCTATTAAAATGCAGTATAAGTGAAATAGATCTTGTATTTGTTCAGATGTTCAGATGAATTTGCAGGACCGTAACTAAAGTTAAATAAGTTAGAAACTTATTTATTCTTACTAAACTCTGCCTTATCCTTAATACAAATTATATACCCATAATTATTAAACATGAACGTTAGCTGCCTCACCTTAAATCAACATCCAGTGAAATCCTGTACTAAATATTTAATAAAACGTTGTTATGGTGAACGGGCGGCACGGTGGTGCAGTGGGTAGCGCCGTTGCCTCACAGCAAGAAGGGCCTGGGTTCGATTCCCGGCCGGGTGACCAGGGTCATTTCTGTGTGGAGTTTGCATGTTCTCCCCGTGTCTGCGTGGGTTTCCTCCGGGTACTCCGGTTTCCTCCCACAGTCCAAAAACATGCAGACATGCTGAATTGCCCCTAGGTGTGAGTGAGTGTGTGACTGTGTATGTCTGTCTGTCTGCCCCGTGATGGACTGGTGACCTGTCCAGGGTGTATCCTGCCTTCCGCCAATGACAGCTGGGATAGGCTCCAGCACCCCACCGCGACCCAGAAGGATAAGCGGTTTAGATGGTGTATGTATGTATGTTATTGTAAACTGTAAAATCACAGTGTTCCGTAATTAATGAAAGCTGACTATTTACCTGCACATTTGCTCGTTGAGAATTCAGATAAATATTACATGTTCATGTTCTTTTACAAAAGCTTCACACAAAGATTCTACAGGTATACTTATAAAGCACTTAACGACCAACTTGGCTGTCCAGAAATGAGGCGTTTCACTGAAAATAATGTAGTTTTTCAAAATAAAAAATGAAAACTTTTCTTTAGAAAAATGTCATCATGTGACCCTGCGTTCACACTTTTCGCCTCTTGCCTCATTGCGGATAATGCACCGCCACCATTATTCCACCTGTGGTAGGAGCAATTATCTAGGAACCAAAGAAGGAACGTACTGTTTCACAGTGGTGGACATAAAGCGTGTGCTATGCTGCTCATTGCTCACTTCCTATTGGTAATCGCCACATCTCTTAGCTCCTTATTTGCATAACGTTAAACTCCACTCAAATTTGTCGTATCGCTGACTCCGCCCACTTTGTGTCGCCAACATTCACGCTGTCTCCTGTCGCCGGAAATCGCCAGCTCGTGTTGAAAATGAATGACTTCTGGCTGCTTTGCTGGTGTGAGTGTAGGGTAAAACGTATGCTTTAGAAATGTTGATTTAAATGTTATGGAGCGTTTATGTAAGATGTTATGAATATGTTATGTAGACACCCTTCAAGTAAAGTGTTACCGAACAAATAATGTTGGATTATGTAGTATTTTTTTCACAGTGTCGCTAATCGTGGGACAGTGTAGGCCTTTGATTGTGTCATTTTTATAAGGATATGCTCTTATATTGAAATAAAGGCAATTTTGAGTAAAAGTGGGGTCTCAGGACAAAAACACTACCTCTACATGAGAACGTTTGGGAAGCCCTGGGTTACCTCACTGCGTACAGATGTGCTCTGTTGTTTAAACTCACCTCAAGTGCATCTCAGGCCACAGATTAACTGAGCACTTTCAAAGGACGTTTTTTCTGAGACCATAAATTAAAGCTCATACCAACTAAATAACACATTAAAAGAGTCTGCAATCTTGTGTTTTTCAAGCTTCAGCGAGTTCTACCCATAAAGCACCTGAAAACCCAAACGTGGGCCGAATTGATCACGGCGCCACTCGGAGCATTCCACGTTATTTTTCCCTTCTTCTTTTAGCCCCCTCATCCATTCATTTATTGCTTTGATCAGCCTTCACTCAGCCAAGGTTCATCCCTGTTTCTCTCCATTGATGTGCCAATGAGATGCCCACACTCCTCTTTGTGGAAATAAATCATTGTCCCTGCTCCCACTCAGCGGCTCTGCTGGTCCAACATCAACCCGAAGCCATTTTTGCAGCACTCATTAAATTCGGCAGATCCATTTCACATTCTTGCTTGTAAATGACAGCCATTGTTTTAAGCCGTTCAGTAAAGAATATTAAAAAGAATATATCATAGGTTCTTTGAGACGATTCTCTGCATCAGTAGCTCTAATAAAAGTGTTTTTAAATAAAACAGAACATTAAAATATAATAGAAGCTCCGGGAGCTGAAAATGATAAAAGTATGATTAAAACTCCACGGGTTCTGGATGAGACTATCAGCATTATGCTGAAGCTGCCAGTATTTGTTAGGTGCCCTCTCTGATTTGTGAGAACTGTATTTCCAGCAAATTTGCATGAATCAGACTTTCACAGTCGTTTTGCATTCACCCTCATCTTATTTTGCGGCATCGAAAGGTACTTAAAGGTGGATGTATCATGGAAATTAGCAATATTATTTCAGAACTTCCTTGTCCATACAGTTTGTGTATAGGAACAATACTGATAAAACAGCCTGCTTTGAATATATCATGGTTGTGATGTCACAGCTTCCTTGTCCATACAGTTTGTGTATAGGAACAATACTGATAAAACAGCCTGCTTTGAATATATCATGGTTGTGATGTCACAACCATGAACACATTTACATGCCACCATCCATTCAACCTATAGCAGCTCTGCTCCACCTGTTCCCGTTGAGCTGATGCAGAGTGCTGTTACTGCAGACCGTCTGTAGAGGTTGAGAAAACTACAAACCCGTTTCCAATAAAGTGGGGACGCTGTGCAAAATGTGAATAAAAAGTAAAATACAATGATGTGCAAATCATGTAAACCCTGTATTTAACTGAAAACAATACAAAGACAACATATCAAATGTTGAAACTGAGAAATGTTATTGTTGAAAAATATATGCCCATTTTGATTTTAATGCCAGCAGCACATTCCAAAAAAGTTGGGACGAGCATGTTTACCACTGTGGTTCATCACCTATTCTTTTAACAACACTCTGTAAGCATTTGGGAACTGAGAGACACTGCTGTAGTTTTGAAAGTGAAATGTTTTTCCAATTTTGCTTGATACAGGATTTCAGCTGCTCAACAGTTCAGGGGTCTCCTTTGTCGTACGTTTTGTTTCATAAGGCACTACATGAGTGACAGGTCTGGACAGCTCCAAGACTCTTACTATAGACCCATGTTGTTGTATTTTTTCCCTGAAAAAGACGTTGTCTGGATGGCAGCATGTGTTGCCAAAACCTATATATATATATATATATATATATATACATATATATATATTCAGCATTAATGGTGCCTTCACTGATGTGCAAGTAGTTGCACTGTTTACCCGCACAGTCTTTCACAGAGTCTTAAACCCCTCCCCATCTTTACTTCTGAAAGACTCTGGAAAGCTGTTTTTATACCCAATCGTGTTTCTAACCTGTTGCCATTTAACTACCAGGTGATTTTTTTTAGCATTACACAACTTTACCCAGTCTTTTTTGCCCTGTCCCAGCGTTTTTAAAACATGTTACTGGCATCAAATTCAAATTTGGGTTATATTAAACGTTGTGCTGTTCCTGGCTGTCAGGCAGAAAATTATAAACTCCACCTTTGCTCTTGTCAGGTTGTAAAAACGACCACATCACAATTGTTACTGTACTCAATTAAAATCACAATATCACTCTGCTTTTTTACAGTCTGACAGTGATAACTAAGAAGTGATCTGTAATGAATCTATTGTGCATAGTATTTACATTATACTTGTTAGATTGATTACGGAGTGATTTTAATCTGCAGTATAGATTCATACTGGATTGAAATCACTTCACAATTATTACTATCAGACTGCGAAAACTTCACACACTGCAGATTCATACCGGATTCAAATCACACATTTTCTTACTTGCATACATTATAGAACCTCCCCAGGTTAAACTAATCCAGCTCAAGTAGGGCTTCAGTGTAATCCTCAGCAATCCTAAACTCGGCCCACCAAGCCTCCTATCTGTTTTGTGTTCTTATGACAAACGTATCAGACGTGCACATTGTGCCCGTATGTCACCACTTCACTTAATGTTTGACCATTTGACTTAGATGTTGACCGCTCCACTTACACGTTGACCTGTTTGAACTGTAACATTTTTGACTCTTATCTTCCTGTCCTCACTGCAGCTTTCTAGGACTAAGTCAAGGACAGCGTTGTACCTCTGTTTGTTAAGTGCCATGTTAATGGCTGCACAGGTCTTTTTAATCATTGCATCTTGTTGGGAGCTGCCCACAAGAGACGGAATGCTACATCGGATCCTTGAATATAGAGTCTCCCGAACAGAACGTGTTTCAGCGGATGGTACAAAGCCTGGGATAATAAGAGAGAATGCTTTTTGACGGCCTTGGATTATACAGTGGCATTAAATAAGGGTAATAATTTGCTAATGGCATTCATCCATTTGTTGTGCAAATGTTGTATCTTTTTGCCCCGATAAGATTTTAGCATAATTTCTGAGTCCAGATTATTGATTTATTCTCCTTTTTTTTCCTTGCAGTTTTTTCCCTCTGCAAATTTTTAAAGCTTGGCTTGTTAAGAAGTGCTGTTTCTTGTTTTGCAGGCTATCCACGCTATGAGGTAATCGGGGACCACAGTAAAGGGGAGTACCACCTTCTGATCCAGCGGACCGAACTGGCTGACGATGGAAGCTTCGAGTGTCAGGGCATCCAAGCTGCCATCAGGTCACGGCCCGCACGTCTAACCGTTCTAGGTCAGTCTTAGTGCGTCGCTCTCTATCGACCGCTTTAACCGTTTCTGCTTTTTTGGCTTGCCTTTGCGGGGAAGTCAGAGGCCACGGTAACGAAGCCGAAGAGTAGTCGCTCCTGCGAGCGAGAGAGCAGGAAAACATTTGAAAGGGCACATTTCTTCTGGCTCTAATTGCAAGGCAGGTGCTAAGTAGACATTTGAATCAGATAAATGTGCGACGTTCTCAAATCAGGGCTAATCAGCTGTAGTAAAAGACCTCAGATATGTTTTCCATCTCCTGTGATTTCCAATCAATGAGACTCTGATGCAAATGCATTGCATCAGATGTGCCTGTGGGCAGGCAAAAGCAGGGCTTATTATCATTATTGATCTGGGCTCCTTGTTAAAACCATGATATATTCCAGGGGCATCAGTTCATTATTCTGGCTCCGGAGCGTCAGTGTTTCAGCCAAGTAATCTAAAGCTGGTTACTTAGAGGGAAGTGAAGATGTTGGTGATTTCAGGTCCATTAAAATGATTAATTATAGATGAGAGGGCAACCATTTGTTTTTTATTTTGTTATTTATTTATTTCTTTTTTTTTCCTCCCGCTGGTCCGGTGGCAGCAGAGACAAATCATCAGGCTCCCCCGGGCACAGCCATTAGCCTGACATTTAATCCCAGACAAACTGGCTTACTTCTGAAAAGTTGCATACAAAGCCACAAGCTGGCTCCTGAGTGAGGTAATGAAGTTAATGTATGGGAGGTGTCACAATTAATCCCCCACTGTCACCTCCCCCCCGCCTCCCTACCTCCTCACCTCCACCCCTCCCCCCGCGAGGACAGCGCACTGTGACCACTCATAGGCTTTACTCTCTCTCTGTCTCTCCCTTGATCCCTCTCTCTTTCCTCTCTCTCTCATTCTCTTCTCCCTCCATCACTCGCCTGTTTCTCTCTCTATATTTCTCTCTCCCTCTCTGTCCTCTCTCTCATTCGTTTGTCCCTCTCCCTCCCTTTTTTCTTTCTCTTCTCACTCTTCATCATGCTCCTGTTTCTGTCTCTTTCGTTCTTTCTCTCTCTCTCTCTCTCTCTCTCTCTCTCTCTCTCTCTCTCTTTCATTCTCTGCTCTCCTTCCCTCCCTCCCTCACCTATTTCTCTCTCTCTCTCTCTTTCATTCTCTGCTCTCCTTCCCTCCCTCCCTCACCTATTTCTCTCTCTCTCTCCCCATCACTCACCTATTTTCTCTCTTTGTCTTTCTCTCTCCCTCTCCGTCCTCTCTCTCATTAGTCTGTCTCTCTCCCTCCCCTATTTTTTCTCTTCTCACTCTTCATCATGATCCTGTTTTGTTCTTTGTCTCTCTCTCTCATTCTCTTCTCTCTCCCTCCCTCCCTCACCTATTTCTCTCTCTCTCTCATTCTCTTCACTCTCTCTCTATCTCTCTCTCTCTCTCTCTCTCCCCTTCTCCTCCTCCCCTTCCTTCTCCTCACAGCGTTGTTTTAGAGCCTGATTGGATGGCTGCAGGTGGAGTCCCAGCTTTGTTTCTACCACTTACTCAAAGTGACCAGAGAAGATTGTTTTGTTTTGATTTTTTGTGGCGGGTGTGTGTGTGTGTGTGGTGGGGGGGGGTTCTTTGCTCTTTTTAACATCATAACCTTGTGGTGGGATTTTCAGAAGGAAGCTGTCTTCCCCTTAGCATTTTGACTCTGTTATCAGCTTAACACATTTACCAGTGATAACAAGAGCACAGTGTCATTTTAGATGAATTATTTCTCACCTGTCGCTCACCGAAGCTGAGAAATTCTGCAGAAAGGGTGAATTCTAAACTTTCATTTTATGATAGATTTATATTTACACACGGAAGAAGAGATATTTTACTATCATTTGAATTTGAAAAGTTATTGCTGTACGAACAGACCTTTGTTCCACCTTTTACGATTTGGCGTAAAAACAAATGGAAGTGCAGATACAAAGCTATAGATAGCGGAACTTAATAATTAAATAGGTAATTGCATAAATTGCATAAATTCATTTGAGCAGTGTAGCAAAATGGCAGTAATATCTCTCAAAGCTGTAAAGCAGTGGCTCTCTTTTCCTGAACTGGGGTGTCAAGCTCCAGTCCTGCAGCTACTGCTTGGTTTAATGATCTCCCTCATGCGGCTCATGAAGGGCTTGATAATTAGCTGACGAGTTTAATCAGGTGTGTGGCACTGTGAAGTGCTGAAGCTGTCCAGAGCCGGAGCTCGGCTTCTCTTTAACGCCGTCTGCTCCGCGCCTCTATCCGCTGTATCATCTCTGAGCGTTTAACGCGCCGAAAAAAACAGACCAAACGATATTGAATCATAACGTGACACTAAGCATTCAATTTGCACTTCCTATCCAGCCAACAGAAGGCAAGTACATCAGCCAAAGCCCAGCGGGCTGGCATGGAGCTGCCCTGCTTGATTGACATTTGAACTTTGAACCTCTGCGAGAGCGCTGGAGAGGAATTGAGCAGGCCGGGCTGCTGAATAAGGCATGAGCCCGCGCAGGTACAGCATCCACAGCAGGGGCCCCTGAGGCTAATTAGACCCCGGGAAATCCCTCCCAGCTTCCATGTGCTGGAGCTGCCAAGCCACGGGGAGAAAGCCCTGGACCTCCAAAGGTCAGTGTTGTTTAAAATGGGCCTTGAGAGAAAGACGGCAGAGTTTGGTCAAACTCCCAGCTGTGACTGTACGGTGCTCAACGATTTAAGCGTTGAGTAACAGATGTTAGGTGAAGAGTGTCTGTTCTGAGGCAGTTTGGAGATCAGCAGCCAGTTGCACTAGCTGAAGTTCAGTCGTAGCCTAGTTTGAACGTGAACCGCCACTACATTCAGGTTTACAAGCTTCTAGAATTTAACTGGTTGCACCAAGTAACGTAGCTTCAATGTAGCTTTAAGGTATAACTTAATATTTACACATAGCCTATAGTAGGTCTAAGCTCTACATTAGCGACCGGTCCTGCAGGACGGATTACATGCGTTTTCGGCGATCAGAGAAAAGATCACAGACCTCCTGACTGCAGATTAATACAACACAGACTGGAACAGAGCCCTGAGTCCTACTTTGGCCACTTTTCCACTGTCGGGCCAAATGGTTCTCAGGGCTGCACTGGGCTGTTCTGCGGTGGTCTTGACTCGTAAGACTTTTGGGTGCTATATAGAATTATCTACTACACATTCTCCATCAGTCTGAAGAACGACCATGCAAAGAACCCTTTATTTACGCAAAGGGTTCTTTGAGTGTTCATGGTTCCATATAGCTCCTTTTTGAAAAGTGTTCTATATAGCACCCAAAAGGGTTCTTCTATTGTTACAAGCTTGACATCATTGCCATTTAAAATAAGCTATGAAAAATGCAAGTGTGTTTAAAAAACACTGTGTCCACTCACTGTCCACTCCATTAGACACTCCTACCTTGTCAGTCCACCTTGTAGATGTAAAGTCAGAGACGATAGCTCATCTGCTGCTGCACAGTTTGTGTTGGTCATCCTCTAGTCCTTCATCAGTGGTCACAGGACGCTGTTGGCTGGAAATTTTGGTTCTCAGTCCAGCAGTGACACCAGCAGCACTGCTGTGTCTGATCCACTCAGACCAGCACAACACACACTAACACACCACCTCCATGTCAGTGTTACTGCAGTGCTGAAAATGATCCACCACCCAAATAACACTGACCACTGAAGAACAGGCTAACAAAGTATGCAGAGAAACAGATGGACTACAGTCTGTAACTGTAGAACTACAAAGTGCTCCTATATGGTCAGTAGAGCTGATAAAATGGACAATGAGTGTAGAAATAAGGACGCAGTTTTAATGTTATGGTTGATCTGTGTGGAATTATTTCATTTTCAGTTTTAGACTGACATGAAGATACTCTGAAACTTTAATCTCCAGTTCAGAACATGAGTGTCCAAAGAAAATCTCAGGGATTAAGATATGCATGAGATGAGATCCCGTGCCTTAAGGATGAGTTGAACAAGACACGTTAAGCTGCCCACATGTATGGCCAAGCCAGTGTTAATGAGAGGAAACTCCAATTACTTTTAAATCAAGTCCACCTTTCTCCCCCATGGATTAGCCAGTGGGAAACCTGGGATAATCACTTGGTTCAGCCCAAACGCTGCCTTCGGGAAAGCAGTCAGAAAGCAGAACTTCCACTTTGTAGGAGTTTTCTCTCTCACGTTTTTAAGAGAGCGCCTCTCCTTTTCACGGCAAGCCAATATTTGCAGCCCTCACCAAACATCCTCTCACTCCAATCTACCTGATGTTAATGTCAGGCTGAGCAATGGCGCCGACTTGGAGCACTCGAGGTAGATTGGTGTGGGGAAAAGCAAACAATGAGGCTTTAAATGAAAAATGGAGAAGCTCACAGACAATGGGCCAAACCTGAGCAAAGCCTGGATACCATGCTCTTTTATCAGGGTCTGCTTTTTTTCTGAAAGGGCTGTTTAAAATTAAAATACGAGAAAAGCTCGCTGTTGTCATATAACCCTTAAAATAAGCGTTGTCATTTTGATTTACCGTTTAAATGTAAGTACTTTAATATGTAAGTACTGACGTAGTTATGCGCATAATTACATTTACATTCAGTTTACATTCTGCATCAACAGGTTCAGACAGTTCTGTACTTTAGATCGGCTTTTTCAGTGTCAACCAATGGCAAAAATCAAGACTGTACGCACAACAATAAACTAAAATATCCCTAAAATATCTTCCCTTTTATTTACAAATACAAATATGGTGTGAATCGAAAGTCAGAATCTGTACTTTTTCACAGAATTCGGTCTCACTTTATTTGGATAGTCCCCTATAGATCATCTACAGATGTTCAAATTGTTAACAAACTGTCTGTTGAAACCCAGTTGATTATAAACAGTGGAGGGGTTGGGTTTAGGTTTTGGGTTGAGGTTAAGGTTAGGGTTAGAATTAGAGCTAGGTTCAGTGTTTAGAGAGATGTTTAGTTGAATGTAACTTTAAAGTAAATTAAGTATCTACAAATAATCTAAC